TCAGAGTCAACATATATTATATAGAGAGATAGATATATAACATAACATATACATTATGTATATACAAATATACCATACATAATATATACATGTGTATTTATAAATACATATATACACAAGCGTCGGTATAACTATATGTCCATAAGGTACTGAAAGAACTGGTAGGTATCAATGCTGAGCTATAATGAATGTTCTCTATAATATCTGAAAGATTATGGAGCACAGAAAAGGTTGAAATAGGCAAGTGGTATGATATTCAAAAAAAGGAAGAGAGTGGAGGTGGCTATGAATTACAGGCTTGATTATAGAGCTTGACTCTTTAAATACGTGTGTGTGTGTGTGTGTGTGTGTGTGCATATCTATATATTTTATACATAAATATATATTCGTGTGGGAAAGAGGAAACTTAATTACATTCAACTACATGGTCTCTTACTATCTTTATTCTAAGATAATAACTGGAAACATATCAGATAATGTCAGTACCAGTTCTGGAAAATTCTTGCCCCTATTAATTCTTTTTCTTTTTTTTTCTGTTTGAGTTGATCTATTAACTGTAGGATGCTACAACAATCAATTGAAATCTTTGAAAATTAGGCAGTCAAACTGTTGCTTTGGCTGCACTGTTTAAAACAATCAGCTTGCCTGTTTAGCTGTTATTTTGGGTAATTTTGGTAACTATTAAGTAATCATTTATTCTCGTTATAAGTACTCCAGTCCTCAAACTTTAGGCTATCTTCCTGCTCAATCCATTTCAACCATCAAAGAAAAAAATGAACATTTAAATAGAGCTTTTAGATTACAGCCTATGACAACCTTTTTTATTCTTCCCAGGGCTCTCAGTTGCTATAATTTTGATTGCCTCAGTTAGTATCATTGCTGATTCCTTCCTTATGTTAGTTTTATTTTCTCTTTACCTGTTTTTAATAATTTTAATTTCTTTCTTTTGGATTATGACAATTGCCCACATTTCTTTTTTTTTCCTGGTTTTAAAACTTTTTATTTGCATATTAAAAAAATTGTGCATTCCAATAATTAAAATCATTTGAACAAAAAAAATGGCACTCTGATTAACTGCATTTTACAGCTTGCCAGGACATTGGTACAGCTTTGCATTTTATTGTTAACTAGATTTACTGTAGTCCCACCCGGGTTCTTCTATTCACCGACATGCAAGCTCTTTTAAAAAAAAAAATTCTTTCTAATGCCACCAGGACCCAAACTAGCCAGGACAGGCAGATGGAAAGAGACAGCCGGCTTGGCCTTCATTCAATTCAGTGTCAGTAGTTCTTTATTCTTTTGATGTTGAAAGGGGCAGCACAGTCATTTAAACTTCATCCAACCTCTGTGCATCTTAAAAAGTTAAACAGCTAAAAGAAATAAAATTAAGAAGGCAATGCTTGTGGAATGTACAATGCATATTGGCAGGGCAGATTTCATTACGATTCGCCCCACTTCTCCTTTTCAATCATTTCTTTTGAAGGCAGTGGATTTTTCTCTTGTGCTTCTGTCTTCTTCAATTTAGACTTATCGAATTTCTGAATCTCAGGTGTATCTGGTTTGTCAGACATTTTTGCAGATTAAGCAGTGATGGGTGAGGCTCACCAGTAAGTCAGATCTCCAGGGTGGTAGCTCCGAACTGTCCATTGCCCACATTTTCAAAACTGTATCAAACAATAGTAGAGAGAAAGGGAATCCTGGCTTTATTCCTGTATTTATTAGGAAAAGGTAACTGATATAGGTAAGACTCATCTTCCTGAGTTCAAACCTGGCCTCAGACACTTTCTAGCTATGTGACCTTGGACAAGTCACTTGTACTTTAGTTTGTCACTTAACCCCAGTTGCCCCCCCAAAAAAGAAAAAGTTTCTGGTGTATCTCTATCACACATAATTCTTGTTTTTGGTTTTAGATGCATACTTTTATATGATATTAAGAAAAGTATCCTATGTGCCTATACTTGCAGGGATTTTAGTGTAAATCAGTGTTATTTTTTTCTATATATGTTGAGATAATCATGTGGTTTTAGATGTTTTTGTTTTTATTTTGATCATGTTTATTGTTTTACTAATGTTGTACCATCCAGCTCAGTCTTGATATCTTAAATAAATCACTATATTCTATTTGATAGGATTTTATTTTATTTTAGGCAATTGGGGTTGAGTGACTTGCCCAGGGTCACACAGCTAGTAACTGTTAAGTGTTTGGTCTGAGGCTGGATTTGAACTCAGGTCCTCCTGACTTCAGGGACGGTGCTCTATCCACTGCACCACCCAGCTGCCCCTTAGGATTTTATTTTTTAAATTTGAATCAATACTCATTAATGGTGTTGGTTCTTCCTATCTTGTTATTCCCTAGTTTAGCTATTGCCTTACTAAAGAAATGTGGAAGGGCTCTTTCTTTTTCAGTTTTAAAAATAATCTGTAAAAAATTTGTACTAATTTTTTCTTTGAAGGTTTGATTTAAAAAATCCTTTGAATCCATCAGTAATAAGAGGACCTATTACAATAACCTTTCAATTAGTCTTGCTTCAATTCTTTACCCTCTCCAATTCATCTTCCACTTAGTGGTCAAAGTGATTTTCCTAAAGGTTAAATCTGCCTATGTTGCTCCTATACTCGTTAAATTCCAGTGGTTCCATATCATCTCAAGGATCAAATATAAGTCCTTTGTTATTTAGAGCCACAATCTGACCCTTTCCTATTTTTCCAGTATTGTATTCTTTGATCCATCCACACTGGACTGCTTGCTTTTTCTCACAGACAATGCTCCATCTCCCATTCTTGTGACTTTTCATTCCCCCCTGTACCTGAAATATTCTCCACACCTCTGTCTCTTAAAATCCCTGGCTTCCTTTAAGACAGCTCAAATGTTGCCTTCTGCAGGATGCCTTTCCTAATCCCCCAAACTGGTAGTATTTTCTCCCTCTGTGGGTATCTTCCATCTACTCTCTGTTTATTTAAATATGTAGCATGTCCTCCATTACACATCATAAGCTCTTTCTGGGTAGAGTTGTTTGTTTTTTAATCTCCAGCACTTAGCACAGTGCCTGGCATGTAGTGAATGCTTAGTAAGTGATTATTGAATAATTGATTTACCTCTGCCTTTTTCCTAGAACTCAGGATCCTTCTCAATAATAGGAGAAATGAGCTCCAGTAGTTGTGATTCACATGTGTTTACAATATCTTTACTAAATCCAATAAAGGCTTTGACACAGACTGTCACCTAAAGTTTGATATTTCTTCAATGCTTTAATCTATAGATATTTTTAGTGAAACCCAGCAAATGAAGAAAGCAAAAATGGCTAGTTCTAGCAGCTATTATCAGAAACAGATATGACATAAGATAAGATGACATTTGACTTGTTAATGTCTATATGATATAAAAGAACTCTTTTTAAAAATAATGCAAAAATTTAATTTATTTTATAGACATTCTTAAAATTCTTGATACAGTCCTGTGCTGTAGATAAAGCATGATTTCCCCCTTTTTATATATGAGGAAACTTAGGTCAAATGACTTACCTAGTGTAGTTACCATTAGTAAAGAATATATATATATATATATAATATGAATACAAATAATAATAGTACCACTAATAAGTATGAGAGTCAATAGTTGTAATCAGATTGCCTAATTTGAAGTCCAATGCCCTTTCTCTAATAAACATCACCTTTTTCTCACTAAGAGCTTTATAGGAAATGCAGAAGCCTGACTAGGAGACCCTAAATTTCTATTATGGCTTTAAAATAGTTTGTTCTTATTAATTCTACACAATATTAATAAAGTGTTGCTCCATTCACTTCAGTCAAGCAACAGGTAAATTCAAAGGGGAAAAATCAGTTAAAATAATTATTTGACATTACACTGACAAAATAATTGTTTTATTTACTTATTTTTATCTTTGTATTTCAACTTTCTGTTTTTGAGTCATATGTTATATGTGCAGAAAAGAAATCAACATTTATATGGCTTTGTGCTCAATAATTTTGATTATTTTCTCTGAATTGACTGGTCATATAGGTACCCACAAAATTCAGTTGACTATTAATTATTTGAGGTTAACAAAAGTACAGTGCTAATTATCTGAAGTGAATAAAATCCATAAAATTCTTAGGACTTTAGTACTTTAGACAAGGCAGACAAGATCATAAAGGAACTGTAAAGAGTTTTGATAAGGATGGTATAGTATTTCAAGAATCACCTCTTCTCAATTCCCTGATACAAGTTTGCCACTTCATAGAAGAAAGTATGATTATAATTTCTGTGATAACAAAATAGCCAATTGATTAAGCCAATTCACTCAATGTGCTTTTCCCATTCAATGGAGAGAAGGAAAAAAATTGATTCCACATAGAACTATTCAATCAATTGATCAATTTAGTCAAAACCCCAAACAATTTAATCAAACAACCAACTTTGTCTCTATTCTAAACAATTCTGTTTTGACTGCAAGGATCAGTTGATTCAATGACCATAAAAGTAATATTTGTTTCATTTATCACTTTCTATGCCCACTAACAATCTTATTACTGTCTATGGTTACATGTGTCTCAGTTAATTTTCCATATTTAGTTGTTGGTTGGGACCAAGAGAGACACAAACATAAATTTATCTAATGCATAAAGTATATGCATCCCTTCATAAACTAATACCATATCCACATTCAGTTAACTTTCATGCCAAAATGCCATTACTATAGCCACTGATTTTGTCATTTAATCCTTACTTTTTTACTTCATTACTCTTCTGTGCACTGATATTACTGCAATATGTATGAAGTATGTATGCAGCTGAGTGGGAGCTACCAAGGAATGAAGGAGAAAGAAAGGAAGAGATAATCTCACAGCAAGAACATTTCTTACCCAGTATCTAGAAACCAGATCTTCACTTGACCTCATAAAATTCACATCTCTATCCCTGCTTTTTATGGATACACCTTCATCTAATTATTCCAAAACCGGTCATTGTGTTTTATGTCCCACGGAGCTGACAAGGCAGGATGAATCACAGCACTGTCACTGAGTTTGTGGTGGTGGGGCTTTCTGGGCATCCTGACCCCTCCAAGAAATCTTCTTCACCATCTTCCTCTTCATCTACCTAGTGGCCCTCCTGGGCAATGTGATTATTGTTATTGCCATCATTTACAATACCACTCTTCATTCTCCTATGTATCTTTTTCTGTTGGCACTTGGTGTGGTGGACATTATCTGCACCTCCACCATCATCCCAAAGATGCTGGAAAACATGCTGGTATTGGATAAGACCATTTCTTATGAGGGCTGTATGTCCCAGCTCTTCTTTTTCACTTGGTCCCTGGGAGCTGAGATGGTTCTTTTCACCACAATGGCCTATGACCGCTATGTGGCTCTCTGTTTCCCCTTGCGCTATAGCACTATTATGAACCGCACTATGTGCATGACACTTCTCTGCATTGTCATGGCCATAGCTATTGCCAATTCTTGGGTACATACAGGTCTCATCCTCAGGTTGACTTTCTGTGGGCCCAACACAATTGACCACTTCTTCTGTGAGATCCCCCCCATTGCTTGCACTGTCCTGTAGCCCTGTGAGGACAAATGAGGTGATGGTATTTGTGGCTGACATTGCCTTAGCCATGGGAGACTTCATTCTCACCTGCATCTCCTATGGCTTCATCATTGCTGCTATCCTTCGCATTCGTACCACAGAAGGCAAGAGGAAGGCCTTCTCTACATGCTCCTCCCATCTCTTCGTGGTGTCTCTCTACTACTCCCGTCATCTACACTTATATCCGCCCAGCTTCCACTTATAACTTTGAAAGGGACAAGGTGGTGGCTGCACTGTACACTTTGGTGACTCCTACCCTGAACTCACTTGTCTATAGTTTCTGGAATAAGGAGATCCAAGGAGGGATCAAGAGAATCTTTTCATTTCTGAAATGTCATTGATGTAAGAGGTCAGTCCTCTATTCCAGAACCTTCTTGCAGTATTCTGCAGACTACATTTATTCCTATCTCTCTTTTCTCTTCTCAAAGACAAACCTACTCAACACCTCTTTCCCCCAATTATTCTATTTTCTTGATATCCATAAGATAAGCAAGAAAGCCCTCCCTAGGGAAGGGAAAACACTTCCAGGTTTTTTTTCCCCTTTATGGAGTTTATCTGTTACTTTACAGACCTTCGATTAGTATATCATTCTGTCTCTCAGCAGGCGATATTTTGCTCCAGATGCTAAGCTAATTACAACACAGCAGAGTCCACTAAACTAATACCACCACGCTTAATCTTTTCTTTGCACTGATTTGATGTGGGTTGAACTCTGAGTCTTTGTTGATTTTGACTATACCTAGACTATACCTATTCATTTTCCATGTAAGGGATAGTAAGTTTAGTTTCCATAGAAAGTTTCCAAGAAACTTTGGGTTTATGTGTTCCTCATTTTTTTCAAACCCACACATATTTCACTATACTAATTTTTTTTTTTTGCTTTTTGGGACAAATTGGGGTTCAGTGACTAGCCCAGGGTCACAAAGCTGGTAAGTGTCCAGTGTCTGAGGTCAGATCACTATACTAATTTACAGTAGAGAGATGGAGATAGCTATAGAAAAACTACAAAACCTAAGAGGGAAGAACATTATTTCTCCTACCTACCTAGTCATATTCCTTGCCTTTCATTATGCAGACACTAAAGGGAAAATCTGAACAAGTGTAGAGATCACAAATACATCTGAAATATCTTTTATTACTATTACTCTAATCTATATTACTTTCATTCATCTTTTCATTAAATAAAATCTTTGCTTACATGAACCCTTCTTCATCTTATCAAAGGAAATAATGACATCTCTCCCAAATTTGTGCTATCACAATTTCTTAATTCACAAATAAATTTACTCTTCCTTTGTATATGATGTAAAATCCCAGTGAAGTAGCCTAGCATAATGTCCTTGGAGTTTGAAGCTCTCTCCTTGGAGTTTGAAAAACTGAATTTGAATCCTAGCTCTGCCATTTCCTTTCTGTGATGTCAGGCCAGTCATTTACTCTTTCTAAGAATCAGTTTCCTCTTTTCTACCAGGGAAAAAAGATATATGAGTATCTACCTCACAGGGTTTTGTGAAGAAAAGACTATGTAAAGCACTATGTAGATGTTGCTATCATCATTATCATCGTCATCATCATCATCATCATCATCATCATCATCATCATCATCATCATTCACTATGTTGTAAAGTACTTCTGTATTGCAGAATCAGCTATAGAAAACCAGGTTCTTTTCCCTGCCCATATTCTAGTGGTATCTCCTACCACAACAAGGAAAATTTATGTCATAAGTTTTATATTTGCCTTCCAAAACCAAAATTATGAGGCTTTGCTATAATCCATCTTTTAAAAAAATGAGGTAAAGTAGAAAAAATATGGAATGTAGTGTCAGAGGACATGGGTTTGAGAATGAGATCCTTGCTCACTAGCTTCATGAGAGGTCACCTCCCCTCTCTGGGAATAGAATTCCACATCTGTAAAGTAGAGGTATTGGACTAGAAGATTTCTAAATTCCCTTTCCATTCTAACATTATTTATACATGTTATTTATATATTTATTCATCTCAAAAGGATTTTTCATTTTAATCTCAATCTTTAAAGTCAAGGAGCATTTTATTTCATTTGTATCACTTGTACAATAATTATAATATTGCTGTGCCCAAATAGAATTCAAAAATATTTTTCATCATATAATGTTTTCCTGACTAAAATTTAGAGCTTATAGGACTCTTAGAGTACATCAGTCCAATACAATCATTTTACAACTGAGGAAATGAAGCCCTGAATGGGAATGTGACTTGTCCAAAGTCACACAAGTGGTAAGAAGCAGAGCCAGGATTTGCAATAATAATTCAGATTTATGTTGCATTTTAAGGCTTACAAAGTACATTTCTCATAACAATCTTGTGAAGAGTTACAAATGTAACTATCTTGACTGAGGAAACTGAGGAAAAGAGAAACAGAAAAGGAAGAGTAGTGTGGGGAGAGAGAGCACAAGTCTTAGAGTAAGGAAATGGGTTTGAGTTCTCCATTGGATATATACTGGACCTTGAACATGCCACTTAACCTCTTAGTTCCCCAGGGAATTCTCTTAGACTGTAAGCTGCAGGAAATGTGCCTATTTACATTGGTAGAGGAAGTTCTGCACTAGGAGTTCCCTACATAGATTAAATTAGATCCAATCTAAAAAAATCTATCAGGATTGGGATTTGATTCCATTGCCACAGTACCATATTGTCTACTAGGCAGGTTGAACTACCTCTTCTATTCAGTAGAAATACAAAAGGAATCACCTACTGTGTGCAGAATACTATTGTTAGGTGCTAGGGATGATTTTTTAAATCATCAACTGAGATTACAATAAATACTCAAAACCCATATTTGTATTGCACTTTCAGCTTTACAAAGGAATTTCCTTGCAATTTTGTGAGGTAGGTAGTATAAATGTTACAGAAACAACATAGTATAGAGAAAAGAGAATTGAATCTGTATTCAGACAACATGGGTTCAAATCCCAAATTGGCTATTTAATCTTGGATAAGTGATTTTATTTTTCTGTGCCTCAGTTTCTTAATCTCTAATACAAAAAATGGAACTAAATTATCTTTCAAGCCCTTTTAGTTCTTATAATTGATTATCTTCTTATTTTCATTTGACATGAAGAAATTAAAGTTCATGACAGATTATCAACTCAAATTCCTTCTGATACCTTGAGCAGCAAAAATCCCATGGCTAGACATAGTCATAAATATGTATATATATACATAAAGGACCATTACCTTTGACCACATGCAAAGATATGGGGATGGAGAGGAAAGGGGAGAGTCTCATGTAAGCTTTTTTTCAATTGCAGGTAGGTATTCTGAATATTCAACTCTACCCCCTCAGAACTCAACAAAGAACATAAACATCCTTCACATTCTAGCTAAGCAAAATGTCATTCTAGCTAAGTGTTGGCATTTACCATTGATATTGGTCATTACCAATGTCATTACCTTGGAGCAAGAGGTTGGGATGGAGATATAAAAGGTTGGTCTCCACACCTACCAGGACCAGGACCATATCTAGCCATGGTCCCATGCAGAGATGAACTGGATGATTGACCTATAAAGAAGAGAGAACTTAAGAGAGAATGACCCAGCCCCCAAATTTAGTCCCATCCCAGCTTACCCACTCTTGCCTAGAGTCTTCCCAAAGCTGCTAGTCTTACATCTGGACAATGTCAGCATAAGATCATACTTTTAAAGACAGAAAAGACCTTAAAGGTCATCTAGTCAAAATGTTACATTTGTGATCATATTCTGTCCCCTATAGCTGGGCACCTGGTGACTCTATCCCACAGATGTCAGTCTGACCCTTAAGATTTCACTAGAATCAGTGATGTTGGCTGTTAGATGCCTCAAAAAAAGGTAGAAGCCTGACACCTCATGTTTTGTCTTCTTTTGTTGTTAATTGTGAACAGGATTTGATAACTAATAGCCCAAACTCTTGACATCCAAGAGATTTCAAGCAGTATCTTATATTCCAACTGGATCTCTGACCAAGAGAGTAGCAAGAAGATTTTACTCTGAATCACTCCGGTAGCATTGAAAGCTTGTAGCTTGAGCTGTTTCTGAGATCCTGGAATAGCAACATTAAATACCTCCCAAAAGCAAGAAGGCAGAAGTTTATCTCAGATATACTCCCTTCCCCAAAGTGTTCAGAGACTACCCTAACATAAAGTCCAAATTAAAGAAGCTGACTGGACAAATGAGCAAATAAGAATATCTTTTTTATAGCGATAGGGTAGCTCAAGACACAAATCCAGAAAAATGCAATGATTCCAAAATAACCACAAGCAAAAATATTAAAGAAAAATATAACTTTGGCACGTTTTCAAAGGTAATTCTTAGAAGAAATAAAACAAGATTTTTTTTAAAAAGAGAAAGCTGAAAGTAATTGAAAAAAATCAAATGAGAGTAGTAGAAAGGGTAAATAGGAAAAAATGAGAGCTATGAAAGAAAGATATGGAAAGGAAATTAACAGCTTGAAATAAGAGACATGGAATCATACTGAAAAAGAAAAATAACTTGCCAGAAATTATAATTGACCGAATGGAAGCTAATGATTGTTTGACATACTAAGATATAGTAAAACAAGGTTTAAAAAATGAAAGAAAATGTGAATAGCAAACAACTGACCTGGAAAACAGATCAAAGAAGATAATTCAAGAATCATTGGACTCCCTGAAAGCCATGACCTAGATATAGTATTTCAAAAAAGCAAAAAGACTTCTCAGAACTCTTAGAACCAGAGAACAAAGTTACTCACCTCCTAAAAGTAACCCCAAAGCGAAAGCTTCCTGGAATATTATATCCCAAATCCAAATCTCCCATGTCAAATAAAAAATACCACAGGCAACCAGAAAGAAATAATTCAAGTACCAGACAGCCAGTTAGGATCACACAAGATTTAGTAGCCACCACTTCAAAGAAGCAAAGAACCAAAGGGTAAAATATCTAGGCTCTCAGTTTTACCCAGTAAAATGGAGTATAATCTTTAATTTGATTTCTTTAATTAAAAAGAGAACATCCAAGCATTGCTGATGAAAAATCAGAATTGTATAGAAATTTTAAAGTACAAACATCAAAGTTGAGAAACATAAAAAGATAAACAAGAACAAATAATTATAAGGGAAAAATAAGGTTGAAGAATTTACATTCTGATATGGGGAAATGATAGTCGGACACCTGAAGAACTTAATCATCATTAGGGTATATAGAATGAGTTAAATTAGAAAGAGGGCCTGGAAGTGATTCTGTTATGTTTTTGATGATTTCAAAAGGAGAATGGAAAGAGAGGAAAAAAAATAACATACTAGGGAGAAGGAAAAGAAGGAACAAAAATAAGGAAAATAATTTCGCATATA